CTTTTGAAGGGATCTGTTTGGAAGCCTTTAAGGTTAGGATGCACTTATCATGTTTTACCAGGTCTGTTCAAATTGCACATCGCTCACTGTTAGATGTACATCTGGATCAAACGACGAGGCACAAGTAAATTCTCCACGACGGAGAAATCCAAAATAGGCAGTTATGCACATACACTGCATAGCCAGATCGTTGAAATATCCAAACACGTCTGCTCGTAACTGAGCCACAAGTTTACATAAAACACTGTAAGTAATAGGCAAGCGCTGCTTCGTAGATGTTGATTGCATTTTCTTGTAACCTCTTAATAAAGTCTGTTGCCTGTGTACAGCACCTGAAGATACATCGTCCAAAAGGGTCTTGATACCAGCTTGGAGGTACATGAACTCGATACCGGCCAGATAAATCCACTGTGTGCACCACTCTGCGGAATTCACCATGTGGAACGGAGATAGAGAATCAGCAAGTTCGTTGTGTATTCCGGGCACATGTTGAGCTAACAGAACAAAATTATTCTAGCTGCAATCCAAGTCAGTGTTTCATCAAAGCCATAATCTTCCTGCATTGTTGATCGACCTTCTTAATAATAAACACAGTGGCCTGGTTGTAGCAATGAAATAGCGCTCGTCTCTGTGTCCACTAATGTCCACAAAGTTTAGCAGCAACCACGATAGGATACAGCTCCATGAATGCCATGGATTCGTGCTCCAGGAATTGTAACGTCTGATGGCCATTCTCTGCAAACCAGGCCCCATTGAATATGTTGAAGTATCCACCATGTCCAACCATTGCAGCAGCGTCAGTATATCAGTTCAAGTGTGAGGCGGATGTCACTTCAATGTCATGAAATACTGCTATGCCATTCCACTGTGAGAGGAAAGGGTTCCACATGCGCAAGTCGATTGGACGGTCTTGAGAGAGCAGAATATGATGATGTAGTTGGGTACTTTGGTTGATAAGTCAGTAAGGTAGGACACAAAGGATCTTCAGGGCGATCACACGACAAGCAATTTTTAGGTGTACCCTGCGGGTATGGAATTGGAAACTGGTGCGCTGAGCCGGACCAGGGCCGTGCCGACCTGTGAGAAAAGGGATACCCTGCGTGTAGAGGGAGTAGATTATATGAAATTGAGGATAGGTGTACCCTGCGGGTATGGAATTAGAAACTCATGGCTGCGCCAGACCATGGCGGTGCCGGCCTGCGAGAACAGGGATACCCTGTGGCTATAGGGGTGTAAAGGGATCAGATTATTATAGAAGTACCCTGCAGGTATGGAATTGGAAACTGGTGGCTGCGACGGACCAGGGCAGTGCCGGCCTGCGAGAATGGGGATACCCTGCGGGTATAGGGGTGTAAAGGGGACAGATTTTTATATAAGTACCCTGCGGGTAAGGAATTAGAAACTGGTGGCTGTGCCGGACCAGGGCCGTGTCGGCCTGCGAGAATAGGGATACCCTGCGGGTATAGGGATGAAAGAGGACAGATTATTACGGAGTTGAAGGATAGGTGTACCCTGCGGGTATGGAATTGGAAACTGGTGGCTGCGCTGGACCAGGGCCGTGCCGGCCTGCGAGAATGGGCATACCCTGCGGGTATAGGGGTGTAAAGGGGACAGATTATTATATAAGTACCCTGCGGGTAAGGAATTAGAAACTGGTGGCTGTGCCGGACCAGGGCCGTGTCGGCCTGCGAGAATAGGGATACCCTGCGGGTATAGGGATGAAAGAGGACAGATTATTACGGAGTTGAAGGATAGGTGTACCCTGCGGGTATGGAATTGGAAACTGGTGGCTGCGCTGGACCAGGGCCGTGCCGGCCTGCGAGAATGGGCATACCCTGCGGGTATAGGGGTGTAAAGGGGACAGATTATTATAGAAGTACCCTGCTGGTAAGGAATTAGAAACTGGTGGCTGTGCCGGACCAGGGCCGTGTCGGCCTGCGAGAATAGGGATACCCTGCGGGTATAGGGATGAAAGAGGACAGATTATTACGGAGTTGAAGGATAGGTGTACCCTGCGGGTATGGAATTGGAAACTGGTGGCTGCGCCGGACCAGGGCCGTGCCGGCCTGCGAGAATGGGGGTACCCTGCGGGTATAGGGGTGTAAAGGGGACAGATTATTATAGAAGTACCATGCGGGTATGGAATTAGAAACTGGTGGCTGCGCCGGACCAGGGCCGTGTCAGCCTGCGAGAATAGGGATACCCTGCGGGTATAGGAGTGTAAAGGAATCAGATTATTACGGAATTGAGGGATAGGTGAACCCTGCGGGTATGGAATTGGAAACTGGTGGCTGCGCCGGACCAGGGCCGTGCCGGCCTGCGAGAAGGGGATACCCTGCGGGTATAGGGGTGTAAAGGGATCAGATTATTATGGAATTGAGGGATAGGTGTACCCTGCGGGTATGGAATTGGAAACTGGTGGCTGCGCCGGACCAGGGCCGTGCCGGCCTGCGAGAAGGGGATACCCTGCGCGTATAGGGGTGTAAAGGGGACAGATTATTACGGCGTTGAAGGATAGGTGTACCCTGCGGGTATGGAATTGGAGACTGGAGGCTGCGCCATTGGAAACTGGTGGCTGTGCCGGCCTGCGAGAATAGGGATACCCTGCGGGTATGGAATTGGAAACTGTTGGCTGAGCAGTACCAGGTAAGTAAGGAAGAGACTGACTCGCTGTCATGAGGTGCTGATTGAATATTCCCTTCAGCGACACCTAGAGGACTGACTCTATACATGGTGTATGGTGGAGTCCCGAAGGGTCCAATCACTAACCCTTGTGACATGTTTTACTGCTTAGTGACGACATCTCGGGCCTTGCACGCTGACAGGTTGTTCCTAAATTCAACAGTGTCTTGGTCTAGACGCTTCGCCACGATCGTTGCCATTGTTGTTTTCATGCAGGTCAGAAGTTGTATCCTGGTTAACCCTTCGTGTTGATTGCGATCTGGCTTTAAATGTCGTCTGTGAGCCATTGTTACGATAGCAACGAACAGTTGTACTGCATAACACAACAGGATGGCAAAGGATTGTGTAGATTTCCTTGAATGACCGTGATCCGTAATGACAGCTGAGAGAACAATGGAAACAAGCTGAACGACATTGAGGCTCTTCTTGTTAATATAGAAAAACAAAATGACGTCACATCCATAGTACTGCGCATGCCCGGAGAAAAATATATTGCATTCTGGGATAGAAAATAGTAACTTGATACAGAGAAGAAATGTGATCGTTCACAGACGATTCTGAATAATAAATGACAACTGGAAATAAATGGAAAAGCCTAACGTAGGTGACATATATATACATCTGTTGTGTAGACATCAATGTTAATAATAGGTGAAAGGATATGTTGATCACTGCACAAACAAAAATATAAAATTAACATATAGCAAAACATGTAATAGCAAAGATGTTTTACAAGCAGATAATTTCCTTTATAAATGTTGGCTTCATCTATCACACAAGAGTCTCTGGGAACTCAGTGTCACAGCAGTAATCTTCTGGTTGGCTGGTGTTGAAAGAGTTAATCGTTGCCCATGATCCCCAAAAAGCAGCGTCTTTCATGCATTTCCACCCATGACATGAATATTGTTATATTGCTATTTGTGCACAAGCTGAGTGCCAGGGATATAATAAAATGTTCTTGAAAATTTAGTTGTTTTACTTTTGTTACTCCAGAATAGTTTTTTATACCTACCTAACTTTTTTGGACAAAATTCAATTAAAAAAATTCTGAGTGGCTTTTTTTTTCTTTCTTCTATTTTGAAATGAGTTTGAAATCCGTAAACCAAGAAATAAGAAAGTATCGCCTTATGGGACCTGTACATATTTAAATAATGGAGTAATGACAGAGCTACAGACAACCAAGCAAACCCAAGAAAATATCCTGAGTGAGTGAGTGAGTATGGTTTTACGCCGCTTTTAGCAATATTCCAGCAATATCACGGCGGGGGACACCAGAAATGGGCTTCACACATTGTACCCATGTCAGGAATCGAACCCGGGTCTTCGGCGTGACGAGTGAACGCTTTAACCACTAGGCTACCCGACTGCCCAAAACATCCTGGAAGTGGTGGACATTAATCCTTGTGAAGAAACCAACAAGCAAATGTAGAGTGAGAGAGTATGGTTTTATGACGCTTTTAGCAATATTCCATATCACGGGGGGTGGGGTGGGGGGGTATGTGCGGTATTACCCATCTACCACGATATGAAATACTAACGAATACGTATCACAAATGCTTGGAAACTACTGGAATGTTGCATTTTTCAAAATCATCCATATTTTCATCTTTTCTGCAAAGTTTACAAGTCGAATCCAAATTACGATAGACAGAAATTAGCACCTGATAATTGCAAAATGAAAATCAGGCCATAACCTATCAGGTCACTAGAACAAAACAGACATTTTTGGCACAGTTGACACCAGGAGTTACATCCAACTAGCCCACAGCTCACTGAACAGGAATTCTGGGCGAACAGCCTTTGAAATTCACACTAGTCTCTGATAACTAAATCGTCACGATATGGCTGAAATATTGCCGATGTGACATAAAGCATTAACTCACTCTGATAACTAAATCATCACGATATGGCTGAAATATTGCCAATGTGACATAAAGCATTAACTCACTCACTCTGATAACTAAATTGTGTTGAGGACAAGTAAAAATCTGGTCATGGTAGTTCACAGACTAGTAGCATTTGAGGGCAATAATTCTGAACCGGTTCTCAATGCTTCAATTGTGCTACAAATTGGAACTGAATAAAACTTACACAAAATGTAAACATAGTAAACATATTTGTCTTGATTAAGAAGAACTTGCTACAAACTCTCAGGACAAGTGAAATAAAGTATCCACATGTCCTGTGGACGAGTCTTAAAAAAAAATAAATCCTAAGGCTGGGACAACACAACACAACACGTCATTCCCTATTTGTCTGGTACAAGCTGACTTGTAACACTGTTTGATTCAAGTCTACTCCTGCTTCAGTGACCTTACCTTGTCTTTCAGAGCATTTCTCCTGAAAAATGCTTTACAAGACTCGCAGGTGATGGCGTTGAAGTTGTAGCCAAGCGCCTTGTCCCCACAAACTCCACACAGCTTGTCGTCTTTCAGTTTCATTCGCTTCCTGCAAGACGGACCGTCATCTTGGTAGGCCAACTCATAGCTGCTTCCATTTGGGTTGTCCATGGAACACTCACTTGGAGTCTGTAATGTGAATTAGGAAGACACTGCTATTAAAAAATAGGAAGAAAAAGACACTGCCATTGTTCCCGCTGTCCTTGTGGACTGGCAACGCTAAATATTACCAGTCCCCCCTAATTTTTGTCAGTCACAACTGGCCCAGTCAACAAATAAAAAAATGTATGAAAATTATTTGGTTTTAATCCTTTCAACATCATTTTGAGTGCAAAGATGTCATCTCTGAAGTAACTTTGTTAGATCTTTACGTCATTCACACAAACTTCAGTCACAAAAGACGAAGTCGCTACAAATGGACAAGCTGACTTTGTTGAAAAAATGTACAATATGAATATCACTGATGTTTTGTTCAACAACAAAGATTTATAAGGTACTTTATTTGCCAGTCCACATGATTACCGGCCCAAGCCTAGTTTTACCGGTAAAAAACTGGTAATTACCAGTAAACGGGAACGCTGACTCCTGTCATCATGATTATAACCTGTCACCGTTAGGGATGCCCCGATTCACCAATACATTGGTGCATAGGTAATATTCTCAGACGAGACGAGACGAGACGAGACGATACGATACGATACGATACGCGGTACACACTTACTTTATCTATCATGTCTATTGAATCAAATCGATTCCATCGATTCATATTTGAATCCTGTAACAGTTCATATTTAATCCTGTTTCGTTTCACACATGGACCCACTCATTCATATTTAATTCATTTCATTTTATGGGCACATCTAACGTATTTCGCGAACAGGGAAGTTGCTATTTTTGGCATCTTAAAGTTAAATGTTTGATTTTACATGTGTTTGTGACGGGTGCCACCGGTGGAGCAGGATATGCTCATCTTTTCGCGAACACCTGGTATCATCACTAGTTGATAGTGATTTATGAACACATGCTCATGATATAGTTGGAATTGTACAATAGACTTTAGACAGAGATTTCTATTGGATATGGAAAGGGTTTTGTGGCTTTAATTAGGTCAGTGGATGATAAAATACATATAAAATCTTGGCCTTGTTTGGGTCCTTATAAATATTATGATTCTAAAATCTGACAGCAGCATTTCAATCAAGGCAATCTTCCTGGCGGCAGTATAAAAACACCAAATGAAAAAGAGTGAGTGAGTGAGTTTGGTTTTACGCCGCTTTTAGCAATATTCCAGCAATATCACGGCGGGGGACACCAGAAATCGGCTTCACACATTGTACCCATGTCGGGAATCGAACCCGGGTCTTCGGCATGATAAGCGAACGCTTTAACCACTAGGCTACCCGACCGCCCCCTAAATGAAAAAGACATTTCGCACCATATATTGTCGACAGGATAAAAGCAAACAATATAACTGTATCTGTTGGGGTCATTTACGGATAAATATGCAAATACGAAATGTCAGGTAGGTACTGTTTTCAGTTCGTACAAACATGGTGTAATCCTTGTCTATCGACGACCTAGTGGAAATTGACTATAGGGTATCGGGACAAATTACTGGGTAATTGGTTTCATTTTCAAAATAATAGTCTAAGATGCCGAAAATCAGTATTTAACAGGGGCATAGCTGAGGCCCTTTAAATCAGTAGGCAAACACATATAAACTGCAAAGCAATTTTCACGAGGACGCTAGCGGGGTCAGTTTCCATATCTGTGTTTGTGGCTTCAGGTGTCTTCATGAATCTAAGATATTTGAATCTGGCAAAACTTTTACTTCATTTCATTTTGACACTGTGTGGGACATTTGAACAACTGCATTTCATAAAATTATGACAGGCCAGGGCGTTGTTCCACAAGCAATCTTAGCGCTAAGACAATCGTAATTCCATACTAAAACAAAGACTTGGGAGAGCGGTAGTGCTAAGATCGCTTTGTGGAACAGGGCCTAGGAATAAACAAACATGACGTCCCATAGACTGGAGTAGCTTTACTTTAATAAAGGGCAACTACTCTTGGAGGCAGACCAATAGGTGGGGTGAGGTGAAATGGGGTTTAACGTCGCGTCCAAGATTATTGCACTTGTCATGCTTATATAGCGACGTGCATGCACGTGTGTGTGTGTGGCTGCCTGTACTAGTCCAGAATGATGCCGATTAATAGTGCTAGCCCACTCAGACACAGTATACTGACGCCGAGCCGACCAGTCCTTGTTTTAGCCCATTAATGCCGAGTGCCAGACAGGGTAGCAACAAGTACAATCTTTTAACGTCTTTTGGTATGACCTCCCCGGGGATCGAAGCCCGATAGTATACCACAAAATGTGATCACTGACACAGTTGAAGAAGTGTATGTGGGCAACTGATGTTTTCTTCTATATGGTCTTAACACCACTGTCAAACAAACTAGTTTCAGTGGGAACACTGTTGACTGTTGTAAGTGTCAAACTGACCTTGAGACGTAACATATTAATGCACACATTCCAGGAACATGCGCTGTGTGAATGCACAGATGAATACAAATCTATGATATAATTTAAGAATGACGCAAGGCCACTTTATTAAAAAGAATGGTTTGACGTCAGTGGAAAGCTAGTAACACAGCTGTTGCTTTAATGCAGTGCAAACCTGTCGGCAGAGCTGATGAATCCAGTGGGAATACTACTGGGCTTTTATATAAAACAACCGACTGAATTGTTTTTTTGTTTTTTTGAACATTAATGCAAAATTATTAAACCGGTCCTTGTTTAGAAAGCATATATTTTACTTGCTTTACGGATCTGCCGACTTCATTTTGTTAAATGGAAAAAAAAAACAAGATTGAAAGGAAGGCAAATTCAGATATCTGGGTTTTTTTTTCCATTTAACAAATGAAGTCGGCAGATCCTTTAAGCAAGTAAAATATACTTGAAGTGTGCCCTACCATGCTGAAGAGGCGATCACGATGTGTTTGGATGTTTAATATCTTGTATTAGGAATAAATACTATGTATCTAGCTTGCCAGGGCTTGCTAATGTTAATTCGTAATTCAGGATATATATTAATTCCCTCTATCATAAATAATCAAAACCAACTAAGACAAAGTACAGTGATCCCTCACTACAACGCTACCTTCGGGGTCCAAATAATTGATGAGCGCTGTAGATGATCAGCGGTTTAACGAAGGTCGAGTCGCAGGTGGTAGATGACCAACAAAACAGTATACATGCTCTACCTACCTAACACGATCTACGTTGCACGTTTCAGAGTTTCAAAAAAGATTAGAATAGAAGTTATTTTTTATTCATAGTGTAAAAATTGTAATGTAGTGTAATGTAGATTTATCGAGTATTTATATGCGCTTTAAAAAACCCAACACATCGTATCCCTTCAGTTGAATAAACAGGTATAACAAACTTGGTCAATAAAAGTATGAAATTTGATATAAAACATCACTAAACATGATGATTTACCATTTAAAATGCATTTCCTGCTCTCAAAGGCATTATTTTATATGCAGAGATTAAGATTACCGCGTGTATTTTCTCGTAAACTAAGTCAGAAATAGCAATCAGCTGTGCACACGTTTCCTCCCAATCTACCGGTGATTCAGTTAAAACGTACCCAGTGATACCACTTTAATGAAATTTGATGCAATGGTCTGAAGAAATTGTAACTAAAATTATTATTTTATCAGGAATAATATATTCCAAAATCGTGTTATTTTAGTTGCAGCTTCCACCATATATATCCTTAAAATTATAAGAACTATAAGCGTAGCACTTTGGTACAAATTGTATGCAGGATATTTTTAACGTATGGAACGATTTTGACCAGTCACCATAGGGACTTCACGCGCTACATGTATTTCGATTGCGAAAATGTTATGTTGACATTTAATAGTCAAACTGCCTCAAATATAACTTTTAGCGAGTCATGGTACGGCATTTATGATATGTGTATCCATTCTCTTGCAACTAAAGTTCGTTTCAAGACGTCAATAGCGGTAATCTGACCGTGGTTGCTGTTAATTATAACGGTGAGTTGTGCGATCTACCGATCACTTCGCATACGATTTCGCCGAAATTATTGTTAACATTATTATAATTATTGAATGAAATTTTGAATATAATCAAAATATATTGCAAACATTGGTCCAGATAAAGATATTATAAATATAGGATTAAATTGCATACTTCAGTTCGGATTTGTTGACAGGTATTTCCGGTGTTACGTGATTGCGGTGATCAGCTGATAATGTTCTCTGAGATTGGGGAAAACATCGTGTCATTTGAAAACTTGAGTTTATTGAAAATGTTCGTAAATTTTGGGAGCCATGCTTTACCGCGAGCTATAACCGAGTTAGCGCTATATTGAGGGCGCAATAACGAGGGAATACTGTAATACAAATACAGAACTTATCATGTTCACTCTAGCATGTTGAGAGCTACAAGAATAAATTGTTCACAAAATGGAGTCATCTTACCTGAAATAAGAATAGGGCATAACTGTATATAGTGTTTGACTAGCATGAGGTCAGTCCGTCCTGATCTCAGCATGGGCGGATACAGCTTTTTTGAAAAGGGGGGAATTAAGATCTTTTTATTGTCTTTAGTGGTAATTTATACAGAAATAAAAAGGGGGGTGCACACCCCCGCAACCCCCCTCTGTATCCGCCAATGCTCAGAAGAACGTATTCGTTTACCATGTTACAAACAAGAAAAAGTCCAGACAAATGATATGCAAATTAGCCTGTGACAGCAGTGCAATACAAAGTCATCACTGCGCCGGAGTGTGCAACCACTCATCTGTTGGGGCACGATGACACACTATCAGTCAGTTAGTCAGGTCAAAACTTGTACATACCCAGTCTTTATCAGTCAAAAAATCTGACAAAAAAAACACTCAAAACCTCTCTCTTCAAGAAAGTCTTTGACTAGATCATGGTCTAAGCGTATTTGAGCAGTTGCTAATTGAAAAAAGCACTTTACAGCGTTAGAAATTTGCACTAGTCCTATAGTCCCTGCCAAACTGCCCAATAGTTAAGGTATCATAAGGACTAGTAGAAATTGGCCCTTTTTAAGGGTTTTGCTATAT